AGCTTCGTCGGCATTGTTGCCGTGCAATGAGCTATTCCGCTCCCTTCAGGATTGGCCGTATTTGGCAATCGTAGAGGGATTAGAAGTGCGGATGCGCCTGACACGACATTATTGACGGAAGAGGATGTGGGAGACAATTTCCTCACGAGGGCTAGCGCGTCTCGTGGCCTGAGTCGAGCTGGAGCTCAGACGTTGACGATAAGTCGTCCTACACGCCTTCACCAACAGTCACTCTAATGACAACCTTATCGTCTTGGAGGACGCAGACGTGACACCCGTCGACGGTGTGCCTTACACACCTCCAGCTCCCACCCAAAAGTCTAGAGTTTCAATAATCCGTCCTGCCCTAGCATTCCCAGCTTCCCCGCACGGCACAGAGGAATTGGATCAGGCTACTTTGCTGCATGCACTTTCCATCGACAAGTTCGAACATGGGATTCTTCGGTTGGCGCGCGCGCGAAGCATTACAGTGTCATAGCGAGATAGGCTAAATACACTTCATGAATTGGAAAATAAAAGGGGGGGACCATGGAAAAGGCCCTTTTTGAGCACATATCTGCTGTGCGCGTTTAGAAAGACCATCAGAACGGTAGGGAAGGATGGCTATATCTCCAGACTGATCCGGATCAGGCTTGCATAAGAGCCCTATACCCAGTACTTGTTTCAAGATTTACTGGCCATCAAATCTCCGCTAACGACCTTTGTCTCGATGATTGAAGATGCGGAACGATTAAAGGCAAGAGGATCATCTGGGGGTGGGGCCAAGTAAAGACTTGTGGGGATGGTGGTGTTGCAAGGTGGTTAGGCTGGCCAAGAGGAGTGTTTGTTTCCCGAGACACAGATATCGCAGGCCTGCACGTCTAGCCAGTATGCTCGTCCTTATACTCATAGCCTATGAATAGATATGCAAACAATGAGCCTAGCAGCTCGCCAGATACGTGCTTCGGACGCGGGTAAGATCCATCATGGCTGCATCTCCCATGAGGTGTGGGGCTGCTCGCTCCCTATTTCCGATGATAAATCCTGAAGGGAAAAAAGATTAATCAAATGCACTTTGGCTTTCCAAGCAGATTCTGGAGGGCCCTCTTGGCCTTAAACTCGGTAGGAACTATAACATAAATCTAATCTAATCCATATGAATAATCATAGTGCTCGATAAATCTTAAACACCTTATCATCGCTGGTACACGGAATTCACGTAATCATCCCAACCACACATAATTCAATGAAAAATAAGATGCCACATGATTAGATCCATCAATGTTAGAGCCAAAATTTGTATTTTAATCATTATCCTGATGTGGTGTGCCATGGGTTCGTGCAGGTGTCTATGAACTTTGATTTTTACGGCGAAGGAGAGCTCGCAGTGAGAGCCGTCCAACACTTTCATTTGATGTCTTTGCTTAGCCCATGTGTCCCTTAGGAAGCGCAGTTACCCAATCGTGCCCTCCATGAAGGCCAACTACATCTGTTAATCCCACAATTCGCTCGCGCTGCTTCCTTCCCACAGCAGCATTTCGACCGCCTCTATCATCTGAAACTGCTCCATCCAAATTTGATTCAAGATCTACTGTGTAATACATTTGGTATCGCAAGAATAATTTATCATAGCTTCTCCCCAAATCTCTCTACCATGTAAACATATAGGACAAGTCATAATCACGTGCTTGGAATTTTGTAATTTGTAACCACATGGACAGCCTGGAATGATACCCTGGGTAATTATCTTCCGTGTAGATACGAGTTGAGCAACAAGTGCTGAGATAGAATCTGCATTGCAAGGCTGCTTGGAGATCCTATTCGGTTTTGAAGGAGAGATATAGATTACCAAATTTGCTTCAAGAGTTTGGAAACCTCATGGATGAGGCTACTATGGAAATCATTTTTTAGGGCACTGTAATAGCACCTGTGTGGCGACTCGTACTAGTTATGGAAGCTTCTTTGCGCCGCAACATTAGTCATGCTAGCGGGCTATATTGTACTGTGATTCTATTTGAGCTTGGTTGTATGATGAAGATAATAATATATTCAGTCGGTTAGCTTGATTCGTATGATATGCTAAACGCTGACCTAGCTTATGAGAAGAATATTGAAGCCATGGTCTTTCATTAATCTGCTGTGCACGAGAAGGAGGTGTCATCACTTCGTAGACCCAGCTGCAAAAGCGCAGGCAACAGGCCTACGCTGATGTAGATCGGATATAGAGAGGCAAACGCCTGACTTTGCTTCGAAAGGCGCCACTGAATAGAGCGTCGACTGACGTGTTTGACCAGATATAATATCGTCATTAATGCCCATCAGTGTAAAATTTTATCTCGTGGTGCTTTATGTGAGATCCTGTCCATAACAGTTAACTTCAGACAGGCCTGAATCCTGGAGGCGCAGACAGTAGTCAGCCGGGGATAATGTGGCGCTATGAAGGGACATTGAGCAGTACAGGGATTTATTGCTCTCTCTGGTACATTTGCACCTAAACATTCCCCTCGCTGTGATGTTGCAGCCAAACTACTATCAAGTCAGCCGGCTAGTCGATGGACTTATTGGCGAAGGCTAGGATGTAACATGGTCAGAGCCCAGATTCCGAATGTCCACGGAACTGAAGGCCTACTTCCATAACATTATCGAACCACAGCTGATCCCGTAGGACCCTAAGTATGTTTGGCGATTTGGCCAAAAACTAGTTCAACAAGCAAAACCATGACATATGGTAGAAATTGCGACTGACCTCAGGTTGGCACTTGAAGACTCCTTGGAGTTGTGAGAGGATGGTGGCTTTGCAGTTGTAACTAAAGCTACTCAAGATAATGAAAAGACAAAGGGAGGAAGAGGTCTCTAGCCTTGCTTTCGGTACCGATGCTTACTTATCCAGACTCCTCATCGAGTGATATCAGAGAACCAAGATTCGTGTTATCAAATTCTGCTTAGTCGGCTGGTTGGTTGGGTTAAAACCATCCACACACTCGGAACTCAACCCACACGTATCATACTAAATTACTATAACACATTACATACTTCTCTGTATACCATATATTACCCTCCGTATATTATCACCCCTGTGATTCTTCTTCCTAAATACCCTGACAACTCGTAAACATGAGCCGTAATAGTAGCGCTCACTAACTAGCCCTGTGAGTCATAGTAGTGCTCTTCAATATTCTAGCGTGCGGCCAGATACCAGGGATGAGGAGCAGTTTCATTTGAGAATTCAATAGAGAGGAAAGGATAGCTTGTCGCAGGGGCAGTCGCCAGCTCAGCCTCAATCTTGCATCCTTCAGATCCGCGCTGGAAGAGAACTCGAGTCGGCAACAAGGCTTGATTTGATGGCAGGTAGGGATTAGTTAATTCAAAGCCTTTTTGGCGGCTCTTATGAGGATCTCTGATGCAAATACGGAATGGTGTTTATTGGACCTCGTACGCAGTGAATCGAGTAGTTAGGGTTGGTGGAGCCATATATTTCTGCCTCGATATTGGAGCACAAATAAGGATGGCCTTGCACGCTTCAGCATAGGAACAAATTTCATCACATTTGCATGGCTCGTGTTCCCCATCTCTTTATTCATCTCTTATCAACTATGAAGATAGATCAATCTCATTTTTTCGAACTCTCTAGAATCCTGGTATCCATCACGAAGTTAGACTACTGAGACACAATTTGTTACCGGCATTAATGAGTTCTTCCCAAACTCCATCTATTTCGGTTCTGGAATCGAGGGCAATTGCAAAGATGATGTGTGACTCTTGTTATCCAACAATTTGTGGAATCTGATTAGCATGATCAGCTTGGTTTGGAAGATGCCAGATTGGACGGAGCGCCCTGGGATAACCGCGTCTTCTAGGACCGATAAGCGAAGGAAATCTGTCAGGCCGGGACCATCAGACATATCAAAACTCCCTGTCAGTGTCAGAGTTGCCTTTACTCCAGTATATGTGTACGGAGAAAGCCACGTCATAGTATTCTTTGGTTCTAGTATGGCTCTTTAGTCAAGTGGTTCTGCGCCAATCTCATACAAAATGAAGGAAAGCAACCTCTAGCTAGAATCTCTTGAGTTGATCCAGGTCTCTGTTCTGCTGGCTACATGCTGCCTCTGACAGTCATGAAGAAACTTCGAAAATTGAAGACGAGAACTTTGCCACGCCCCCGCCGTTGTAGTACTTGATGCGAAATATCATCTTATGCGCTTGGCTGGATCCCCAGCCAGAAATCCTGTAGCCCGTACCATATGTAATACCCGGGGAAGATGCTGGCCTCGTATCCCAGGGTCACATGTCAACTCAGCCCGCTTCCGAAGCAAAGGTGACGAGAGGAACTTTCGGCAACTTCCTTATTCTTTGAAATTTGAGTGACTAAAGCTCAGCATCTGCCACTGGTGTCTCCTACGAACCCGCAGCACCCGAGACGGCCATGGTGGATTGGATCAAGATGGCCTCACTCGTTACATAGAAGGGAGATATAGATGGATATGCGCACCTCATGTGGTCCCGGCGTCTAGGCCTCGCCTGTCTGGAGCTGCAGCTTTTCTGGGAGTATTTCCTGCGCACGCAATTTCAATGGCTACTTTTTTTTGGGTAGAAGGTTCCGTTGAAAAATAATCTGGATTCTACGGGTAAATGCAGAGCTGAATGGCTATGCATCATGAGCAATACTATAGAGACCTTATTCCTCACAAAAGATGATAGGTGCACTGTGCAAGGCGTGGCCTGGGCTAGAAAGGAGCCGAATGTGCTGAATAGTCTTTGACTCAAGTCAATTAATAGAACCAAAGCATCCTTGAAATTTGCAATTAGACTACCCTGAACAGATCTTGGGCCGCGAAGGTTACCCTCACTTGGCTACTCTATGAAATTTCTCCTCAGAAATGGCCGAGTCAGTGAATCGGCATCCGAACCAGCTTATTTATAAAAGGTCCCAACCACATGTCTTGCCTTATCTCAATATCTTTCCTGAGCCATCCAACTGCGTCTAATTCATTACTTCTTGCAAAGCCCTGCAATCTATCGCCATGTACTTTAATTTATCGCTCGTTTGCATGCTCCTCTGTTCTGTTCCAGCCCTATCGCATCCAACTAGTCAGGACGAAACGATACTTTCAAAGCGCGCCCTCGGGTCGAAACTACACAGACTTCCATTTATGATAGGCGGGAATAAACAGCAGTATATTTGTAAAGATGCGAAGTTCGAATACAACGAAATAATAAAATATGCTTTAGCTAATTGTCCTGGCACGCGCTATGTGAGTAAAATCTCTTCTACCAAATAGTGGTCACATTACTAGAATTATCTTCTAATACCTGTAAAAAAGAGTCTTCATACCTCTTTGTCTGATCTATCAATACACGCTTACATAAAAGGGCTTCATGGTGAGTCTATCAATGACCCTCCTCATTTCTCTCCTTTTTAGTGGAGATTATATCAAGGCTTTCTCAACCGCTCAAAACGTTTATTTAACAGTTAACAGGGAGAACCGGCACCTACCGCGTCAGAGTGAAGAGAAAATTGGGTGTCTGTAAGATTAAAAAGGTCTTTAAGTTAGAAAATAATCAAGAAATACCTTGCACTCTAACAGTTACATAAAAATCGCCTTCAGCCATATAATACTCGGACCTTTCAGCCTCATTACGAAGGAGGAAAATCGTGGAACTCAGCGCAATACCAGGCAGTAGTCTGATTCGCTTCAATGGGTGGATTAACGACATCGACATCGACTTGAGGAATATCTAGCAGCGTGATATAAATAACTTCAAATTTTTCAAAATTTTCTCTTAGTGTCTAGAGAAGATAGTTTGTTACCGTATACCAATTTTAAACTCCACAGGATCCATGAATTAGCCTTCTTTCCTGTCTTACCCTAAAAGTGATTAAGTGCAGAGCTCTGTCTACGAATTAAATGTACCACATGTGTGGGATTTAATGGGTAGTGTCTAGCTGTTGATATTATCAGCCTACGCTATATGATGGGCTGAATCTCTCGTTGAGCGATATGCGTAGAACGTGATAGCCTTGCAGTCTACTTGATTAGTATTGAACGTTGTGTTAGAGACTGAGAGAGACCTTAGTACAAGATTTGGGTGTCCGTGCACACATTTGTACCTAATATAAATAAAATAAACTTTTCAATCTTCGTGATCTGGTGCCTTGAGGCTCGTGCAGGATATATCGGATGATATGTGCTTGAAGTAGGATGACTCAATTTGACGTTTAGAACTCTCAGATCTCGCTTGCACATACCACTTCATGTTAATCCCTTTCGTGCACACCAATCACTATGTCAAGCGTGAAAAAAACATGGTTCGCCTTATGTACTTTGACCATCTCACAAGCGTAAACTCGCTGCGAGAGAGTTGAATTGAATTGAATAATTTAACGTATTAGGCTAAAGCCCTGCACCCAGGAGTCTTGACACGGGTGCGTGTTCCCGGGGGACCTACAAACACCACTGATGCTGGCTTTATGTGGCCAGAAATTTACATGATCTAATAAAGACAAAAATTTCACAAAAACTTTTGCTGCCCTGCGCCTAGCCAACTATCTCATAGCAGTTTCCTATACTATATGTATGCCAGAAAATCTCGGTCATTCAAGTCTTACTTTGCACCCCGTAGCATCCTGTTACGGTAAGGAATCTATAAAAATCTATCCATCCCCTTTTTCCCAACATTGTCAATGTACTTGGTGCTGTTTCCTTTGTTGTTTTCCGCCATTCATTTAGCGCTGTCCGGCATTCCGAGAAATGCCACGGGCGTCTTTCTCGGCCACATTTGCACATAAGATCTATTCCTTCGTGATAAAGCTTCTTCTGATACTTGGCAAAATTGCCACGACTACTCCTAGCCGCTATCAAACGATAATGCGCCCGACTCGGAAAATGAAGATCTAGTGGTCGTTTTGTCACTGCGACAGAGAATGATGTGTGAGTATCTCACATTTTAAAGTGGCGCATTAACGCTCCTATGGGTACGAACGTTCAGGCCCCCCGGGACTCATCTTGGGAAACGGCATGAATTGTGTACCATTGCACTGTCCGACCCTTAAACCTGGTTGAGTTGGCGAAACAATCACTAAGTACATTCAACGACTTGTTAATTATCACTTTTTTTAAGCAGACTTATGCAAGCATAAGTCTGGATCAAGTCCAAAAGCGAAAGCACGATCTGCGTGCAGCCATGTCAGACTAGTAATGATGATCAGGGGCGTCAATAGGCTAGAACTAGATATTATAGTGCTACGATGGACTCGTAGCACGGAGACAATTAATCAATTCATTCTTGTATTCGCTTTTACCTTTTGACGATTCACGTGATATTCACACGAAGACCTCTCTAAGTTTTACAATTTTACATCATTTAATGTTGGTTCCACTCAGGCTGAATATTACAGCCTCAGGCCGATAGGCTCGGCAGACAATAATAGCTGACTAATCTGGAGAGGCCTGTGCGTCTCATCTAATTTGTAGAGTTTCGAAACACCCTAGATGGGTGCAAGAATATATACAATTCAGTACACTCTATTTCCATTCCCCAGCACTAGTGCTTAAGTCCTGTCAACGTTTAACGTATTTTCAGCTATGTAGCTATGACGCATGATAGATGTCATCTTTACATATAGGATAATATTTTTTGATATTAGGGACAATCATACACTAGATTTCATTCGTAAATGCCACTATAAAGTATCTTTGCGTCCATAAACAATCGACCCTTAACGGCTTGACCCTCAATATCTATAAGAACAAATATTGGCATATTTCAAAATAATTAGAGGAGGGCAAGACTGAACACCTGTACGCGGTGTCCTCTACGAAACTGGGAGTGAAATATTCTCCCAGAGCCAAGTTCAGTCAAATTTCGCAATATCAAAGAAGTTGGCCTACGAGGCAAAAATTCAAATTACTCCTCCACTTCGTTTTTTAGCTCCCAACGAGTTTGACGCCTACCTAAGTCTCATCAAGCCTACAAGTACGACCAAGTACATCCTTATCCCGATGACCACGCCACTCTTCGACCTTCTCTGGCCTCAGTTGACCACCAAATACACGCCCACGCCGATATTTATACCCGCCGGAGGAAGCAAAGTGTGGAGCACAAATCTGGGAGATAGCTCTTTGGGACGGACGTGAGAGGGATCAGGACAATTTTACAAGATGATGCAGAAAAGGGATACATTCTCGATGGGCGTGAAATATCGAATTTTGGCAGGAGTTTTATGAATTGAGCTTTGTGCGCGCCAAGATTTCGCTTGCGAGAGTGCAACTGACACTATAAACTTAAGCAAACGATGGAAGGTGTTGTGATCCGCCTCCTGGTGGTCTCCTCTGGTATAGTTTGAGTAGCCTGGGCACCTACTCCACCTGGGAAGAAGAGATCTCAGATCATATTTCGCGCGGACAAAATTTAATGGATGACGGAGGCATGTCTGGATAACTCAGGGTTTTTGAGATGTTCCCCTGGGTGGGTATTCACGGATAAGGGTTGACTTGGGGTGAAGAAAAAGCCACCATAACTTCGCAGTGGTACTTGCAAATGAAATCCGAGGCATGAGTGCTTTTCCTTTACGTTGAATCATCTATTCTGTACTTTTCTTTGATATTGTGTCATAGCTAGATAGCTGCATACGCAATTCAAATCTGTTGCAAAAAAAAAATAAAGCCATTTCCTAAGCACCACCTTTCCTTAGAGCATTTGTGAAGGCTGTCACACCATCGACGAATTATGTACAACATTTCGCCGTCATATTAACCATAGCACTGACAAATTCTGAGGTATCTGTATCTTGGTCTTGAGTTCTTTGACCTATATTTGGCCTACACGGTTAGGGATACGGCAGCGACTGGGCGACTGGGCGAGGTAAGGGGGATGGAAAGTCTACAAAGTATCCGAGATTGCGCTAACAACTGAAAGAATAAGAAGAAGTTACAATGGAGGAAAGAAAGGAAAGAAAATCTGAAGGGGCCTCGGTGGGTGATTGGGTGAGATCTACGACAAAGAAAATGATGCATGGATGAGATGATGAAATGCTGGAACGAGGCACGGCTGAAACTGAAAGGAAAAGACAATTGGAGATTGGGAGGGCGTCAAGAGGTCGGGCCTATGGTAGCCGAGGCTGAGGAGAAAATTGCGCTTCGGCGTGTAAGAATCGGGTTCATTAGAAGGTTGGCCATGACATGCTAAACATATGGATGAAGTCTGAGGTGGTCTGATCACTCTGGTGGAACGAGGCTTATGTACTTAAATGGTATTAACCTGATCCAGCTCGGCATCACCCGTGCTTGGGGGGACTATTCTCAACACCTGTTAGTGGTGTCACCTACGAACCTCCAGCTCTCACTGTAGAGTCTGCAGAGCCGAGATTGAGTAACAAAGTCCTCACTTCGACGAGGATTCCCAATCGCTTTCGCGGTCTGTATCGTCTTCATCTCTCTACACATTCCCCTATCAACATTATCATGAAGCTGACAACAGATCAAATGGTCGGGTCGGAGCCCTACTCATCACCAAACCTTGATCACGGAGGAAAAGCCATCCGATGAGTTTCCGGAGCGTACCCAGCACCCGATACGGAGATGGTGGATTGGATCAAGATGGCCTCACTCGTTACATAGAAGGGAGATATAGATGGGCATGCGCACCTCATGTGGTCCCGGTGTCTAGGCCTCGCCTGGCTGGGGCTGCAGATTTTTTGAGACTTTCCGGCGCACGCAGTTTACATTGCTACCATTTATATTTTTTTTGGGTAGAAGGTTCCGTGGAAAAGTTGGTCGAATTCCACGGCTAAATACTGAGCTGAATGGCTATTCATCACGGGCAATATATCAATGCTCTTTCAAGGATCATAAGAGGCAAAGAGCACTGTACCAGGTGTGGCCTGGGTCAGAGAGGAGCCCAATGTGCTAGATGGTCATAGACTCAAGTAGCACTATAATAAACACACACTCATGGCGACAAAAGCACACCAGCATAAGCATGGATCATACTACTATTCCCTATGGTAGTATATTCATGGATGAGGTTGTAGGCCGGAGGAGTTAACTTGGAGTGGATTCCGAAGTGAGATCTGAGTTTCAGTGTTCTAGACGTCAAATTAGCTCAGACGGTATAGACTATTTTTCACCTGAAAAGTTCCCACATGGCCCCCTTAGGGCGTCAAATCAAGATAATTAATATTTTCCTATTTAAAGTTTATTGTGCTACTTAAGTGATGATGTGAACTGTTATTGTATAACCTGAGTTATAGACTATCTAGCACATTGGGCTCCTCTCTAACCCAGGCCATGGTACAGTGCTCTTTGCCTCTTATGTTCCTTGAAAGAGCATTGATATATTGCCCGTGATGAATAGCCATTCAGCTCAGTATTTAGCCGTGGAATTCGACCAACTTTTCCACGGAACCTTCTACCCAAAAAAAATATAAATGGTAGCAATGTAAACTGCGTGCGCCGGAAAGTCTCAAAAAATCTGCAGCCCCAGCCAGGCGAGGCCTAGACACCGGGACCACATGAGGTGCGCATGCCCATCTATATCTCCCTTCTATGTAACGAGTGAGGCCATCTTGATCCAATCCACCATCTCCGTATCGGGTGCTGGGTACGCTCCGGAAACTCATCGGATGGCTTTTCCTCCGTGATCAAGGTTTGGTGATGAGTAGGGCTCCGACCCGACCATTTGATCTGTTGTCAGCTTCATGATAATGTTGATAGGGGAATGTGTAGAGAGATGAAGACGATACAGACCGCGAAAGCGATTGGGAATCCTCGTCGAAGTGAGGACTTTTTTACCCAACCTCGGGTCTGATGAATCGCAGTTGGAGCCGAAGGTTGGTAGGGGACACCACTGACAGGTGTTGAGAATAGACCCTTGAAATTTATTTGCTGGCAGGTGTTGAGTCTCTATTCCTATTATGAACGACTTCCAAACTAATCCCGTAAAAGATGACCGATAGCGATTTTGCAGGATTTGAATAAGCGCAGCGATGCAAGTTAGGTAATAATAGATCTTAAATTTCTTACACCTGCAATTCAGATGATGACCCAGAATACCGTCCGACATGTTGAGCCATATTCCGTCTACTCGCATTAGGTTCTTCGATGTATCATGTGATTTTGCGAAAGCAGAAGTTACTGAATTCACATGACTTAAGAACGTCACAAACTTAGCATATCAAGAACTCTCATTTCGCAAAACATCAAATTGAAAAGTGACAGCTCAAAATTTGTGGAGAATAACAAACCTCAACAATCCATTTGATGTCATGCGAAACATTACATCCTATCCTTAAGTCTGCCTGGGTTAAAGTAACATAGAGTTTGAAATGATACCTCCTGTCATTATCCATCGTCCCAACCCGTCATTTAAGTTTCGGATCAAAAAATTTCCTCTTCACAACCGGTATTCGCCGATGTTCAAGCTTTATAGCATTATTTACATACCACTTAAACCCAAAAGCTTGCGGCGTCCATAAAGTAACGATCGTACGGTTGAATCGTATGGGTACAATTTGTGTCCGAACGTCAGAGACTTGTGTCTATCGGGATAACTACATGAGTTGTACACATCAGATGGAGTGGTTTCAGGGCTGTCTCGAGATGAAGCAATCAGTATTAAAAACATACGTATTCTTCAGCATATGTATGCTTCCACAGACTTGGGGTTTTCGTGTGTTCTGACCTCAACTAATCCATTCATGCTCACCCTTATTTCATTTTTGGCCCGTTCAGTGGTTTTATTGAGCTCTTGCTCTATTTTTGTACTGAACTTCTTGTTTATCTGCAACCAGCTGACATTATGGCAACATGGGGGTCATATCTTTCGTCGATGGTCAAAAAGAAGGTTGAAGATCCTGTAGCTATTCCGGCGACAACATCTACAACGGTAACAGCAGCAGCTGATCTTACTTTGAAAGATACTGATGATGCCGTCTTGTTACAATCCTCGAACCTGAAAAATTCTAATGATGTAAAATCTGAAGCTGCCCCTAAAGGTGCCGAACTCGATCAAGCAATTCCTGGAGGAGCCAAAAAGTTATATGATGTTAAAATTCCTGAGCCGGAACCAGAGCTAAAACCTGTCCCACAATCCAATGCTAGTAGAATTGCAAAGATGTTTGGGTATGGCAGTTCTAAACCGTCTGCAAATCCAGCTCCAAACGATCCACCGCCAGAAGCATCAGTTGCTGCAGGTAGCTCATCAAGCCTGGAGATAATGCCTAACTCGGTCCTACCTTCGTCAATTACATCAGTAGGCTCACCTATTCCTACTACCGCTGCAACAAAGCCATTATATTCAATTCAAGCCGAAAACTCAGCAAACACAGTAAATCTAGAAAAATCTTCGACTACTAGAACTACGATTAATTTATCAACTCCAGTGACTCCAGCTAATATGTTGACCTCGTCTATTTCTACACCCTTAATATCTAATGCAAATTCTGTAATTTCAACGACCGCAACAGCTATATCAGATTCAGCCAACATAATCAATCCAGCCTTTACTGAACGAAGAGAAATCCCACAAAAAGTATCAGAGATTCCTTCCTTCTTAAAACCATCGGCTCCTGTCTCGACCTTATCGCCGTCGGAAAGTTTTCAACTATTAATGAAAAAGAAACAAAATCTTGAGACTGCGACTTCACCAGCAATCCCTGAAATGCAAGCAAATTTAGTGACTGCGACAAACGTATCAACTGAGAGGAGTATCGCAAATTTTCCAACTGCCCCTTCAACCCCCGCAAATATGCAAAATCTAAGCGCTATAGGTAGTCCGTTCAGGTCGCCAAACTTGCAGTTACCTGGGAGCAACGCAAACTTAGCAAACCTCACGACAGTGGAAAACTCCTCAATCCAGATAGCCGGAATTAATCAATCAAATGTTTTAACTCCGCCACTACGTGTCGGCCAGTCGAACACAGCTGACGCGTCAACTAAAGATACAGCTGTGGCGACTCAGCAAAAATCCAGAGTTGGATCTTGGCTTCCATGGCCCTCAAAATCTAACCAGAAAATTGAAAATTTGCCGACACCTGAAGTACCTTCAACCTTAGTTGAGACTCCAGTCACGAATATCCAGTTTTCTGTCAATACTCCTTTAAACTATGAACAGACTGAAAAAGACTTGCTTATCGTAAACCAAAGTCCGGCATTATCCTCGACCTTACTAACTCCCACCCAATCAGATTCCCCTCCGACTAAGATAAGTTCAATATCTCTTCTAAGTGGATTCTCCCCTATGCGATCTGACGTGAACTCATCATCAATGGAAGGCCCACCTCAAAGCAGAATCTCTTCACTAATTGCCAATATAAGATCCGTAAGAATTACCATACTCACATAAAATTCCCTACTAATTGCGTAGAACCAACCTGAATATCAGAGACCTCAGTTGTCACCCTCAGGATCCCTCATGTCATCTTCGTCGACGAATTTTACGAGAAGCAGCGGTGGCTCGTTTTCAACGTCTCGACGGAGCGTTGATACGAATAGAACTTCTATGGCATCACTAAGGCTACAAGAAAATATTGAGTTTGACGAGAAATCAAATGAAACTCGAAAGCAGCGTCTTGACGCTGAGAATGAAACGCGACAAAAATTTACAGCCTACATGCAGTCTATAGAGCAGATGCGCATTGAGAGAGAAGATATGGAAATGGAGCGACAAAAAATGCTCGACGAGCAGGAAGCGATTGAGCGTAATGAAACTGCGCTTAAAGAAAAAGAAGAACAAATGCGAATGTTTGTTGAAGACGTAGAACGAGAAAGACTACGCGAGGAGGCAGAAGAGCTTGAGCGACTCCGTCTACAGGAGCTCGAGCAAATTCGTCTTCAAGAGCTGGAGCGAATAGAAAAGGAAAGACAAGAGGCCTTGCGACGGGAAAATGAAGAAAGAGAACGGAAGGAAATGGAAAGGCAAGAAGCTCTTCGACTAGAAATAGCGGAGAAAGAGCGCATCGAAAAGGAAAGACAAGAGGCTTTACAACGGGAACAGGAGATGGTGCGGATAGAGCAAGAAAGACAAGAAACTTTGCGACGAGAAAGTGAAGAGAGAGCTCGCACAGAACAAGAGAAACAAGAGGAATTACAACGGGAAAAAGAGGAGAGAGAACGAATAGAACAATTGGCTTTTGAAAAGACATTGATGCAAGCTGAGGTCAACAAACAGATTAGAGCTGCAGAGCTTGAACTAAAACGGGAAGAAGAATTACAGAGGAAAATTTCAAAGAAAAGAAAATCCAATGAGATTAAAAGTAAAACACCCGATACCAAAGAAACTGGAGGAAGTAATCCTACTATCTTAGATTATGCTTCTGAAATAGAAGCTGAACGACTACGATTTGAAGAGGAAGAAGAAGCTAGGGAGCGAGGACTTCAACCCAGTCGGAGAGGCACTGGAGATGAGACTATCTACGATGAGTCGTTTTACGATGATTATCTCGACGAAGAAATTGAGCGAAATGAAAACTTTACCGAAGAACAGTCTCTAGCAACCCCACAACCATCCAAGGAGAGTTTTTTATCTGAACAAGATCGTCGGGAAGAGCAAAAGCTGGAAAGACAACGAAATGAACAGGCCAGCTTGTTACGACAAGAGGAAGCAGAACGGCGGCGTTATGCTAACGAGCAGGCAGAACGCTATCGTCAAGAATCAGATAACTCGCGTCGTACACAAGAAGACCAGATCAACAAGCCTCCGACACAGTCGCCTAATAACAACTCTTCGAGTATAGCACCACCTTCAATGAATCAATCACCCAGAATTCCGTCTCAGATGGGAGCGCAACAAATGAACCCGCAACGAATGGGTCCGCAACAGATGGGTCCGCAACGAATAGGTCCACAGCAAATGGGTCCGCAACAGATGGGCCCGCAACGAATGGGTCAACAACAGATGGGTCCACAGCAAATGGGTCCACAGCGAATGGGCCCACAGCAAATGGGTCCGCGTCAAATGGGTCCACAGCAAATGGGTCCACAGCAAATGGGTCCACAGCGAATGGGCCCACAGCAAATGGGTCCGCGTCAAATGGGTCCGCAACAGATGGGCCCACAGCAAATGGGTCCGCGTCAAATGGGCTCACCACAGATGGGTCCGCAACGAATGGGCCCACAGCAGATGGGCTCTCCTCGGATGGGACCACCGCAAATGGGTCCGCAACAAATGGGCTCACCACAGATGGGTCCGCAACGAATGGGCCCACAGCAGATGGGTTCTCCTCGAACTGGGCCACCACAAATGAGCTCTCCTCGGATGGGACCACCGCAAATGGGCTCTCCTCGGACTGGGCCACCACAGATGGGTTCTCCTCGAACTGGGCCACCACAAATGAGCTCTCCTAGAACGGGACCACCGCAAATGGGCTCTCCTAGAATGGGACCACCGCAAATGGGCTCACCCCGTATGGGTCCGACCCAAATGAATCAGTCACGACCAGAGCAGCAAAGAAGAGACAGAGAAGAAAATACACAAGAGCAACAAATGTCTGATGAGGAAGATGAAGTCTTCGACAAAGAAGCTGAGATAGCCAAAGCGAAGGAAAAGATAAGGCAAGCATTTGCTGATGTAGAAAGAGAGAAGAACCAAGCCTCTAATCCCCAAGCTAATACGACGGTGCCCGAGCCGCGTATTCAAGAGACAGTCGCGCCTAGACCAGTCAGAAATATTGTAAGGCCTGCTGGTGGGCTACCGACTGGCCCAAAGATGAGAAAGAGTTAAATCTTCTCAAGAAAGAGTCTAGTATTTGGCCAAAAGTACCTGGACCATTTTTGCTACTGAGTTTAACAATAAGTAAATTTAATTATTGAAGTAGTGTTTTGTAATAAATTCTGGCCAGAAAAATTGTTATGCACCCCTTCGTATTCTCTTTGAACAAAACCTTGGAGAAATCCTAACTTTATTCCTTTATGAAAATAATTAATCTCGCTACGCTACTCATAGTAAGGCAAATTTGTCCTGCATAGTTTTTAACTCAAAAAGAATTTAAATGAATCAATTATAATAGTAAGATTAATGGTTAGGCCCAGAATTGAAGGGATATCTTCCGACCACTCATGGACCTATGAATAAGACAATATTCCCACTGAGTTCCATATTTGGTATTAATTATTCACTGTGCATATGAAATACTTCAAATTAATAGCGCCAATCCTAAAGCTAATACCTGAAAATGATGTCCAAAGAGTCTACCCATAAATTAGGCATTTAAATCTGAAATATTTAGTTCACTATAGCTAGATTTTATCAAGAGGTTGTGTCTTTTGCTTAGCTTGGCGTAGACGGCTGATCTAAGTGCCCAGACCATATTATCGCCACAAATTTAGAGAACATAGCTCTCGAGTCCCACAGTTAGCTATGAACTAGCCATTGTTCTTTGTCTTGTAGCTTTGAGATAGGCATCTCTTGAGTCCCGAGTATGGAACTAGACTGAAATTCTTTTTGCCTATAGGTAAAAAATAGCTTTATACAGTGCCTGTCCCTCACTGTCCATGAGAGCAAACCGTAAAGTCAAACAATTGAAACTTCAAACATGTAGCTAGTTTCTCATTTTTAGATTCTAGGAGTCCTCCACAGTCATTGACTCAGTTAGGACTATAATACAAATCCAATCTAATTTAAAAAATAGCTTCGTCTCTAGATATCACTGTCGCGCCTATTTCTAATAGCCGTATTTCTTAGTTCACTTCTTTGTACTTGCATTCCTTCTTCGAGGAACTACACTTCGTTTTTAATAGTGAGACATTATCAAGACTCTTGGTCAAGGCCCTTCTCAATCTTTGATGTTCTTCAGCCTGTGGCAGCACCCTGTCTATTCATAGAGGGTACTTGACGTATCCGACTTGAACAAGATGGGTTGCAAGCAAAGTTTGTGCACCACTAGAACATGTCTGCAGATATAGGAAGATTTTTGATGTTTGTGGGCTAGCTAGTCTAGATTAAAAGTATTGAGTGGCCTACAAACAGTCACAAACTCAAAGCGTCAGAGAAAGTGAGTACAGTGTTGTAAGTAACATTCTAGCGAGACTTTCCGTTGACGCGGACAAAATTTGCCTCTCTCATTGTGCCATATTATATGCGCGTGTTGGTTGCTTTTTGGTGAGAACCCTGGGTGTGATGAGGATGGAGGAATACTAATAGCGGTTCCGGGGATAATTCTGTATTTAGATATCTAGCTATGACACATGATCGGTGTTATCTATTGTGATGGGCTATCACCAAAACAATAAGGACAAAGTAAGCTGGTCATAATATAGTCTATTTTCTCATAATTAGGGAAATGGTATCTATCTAGGCTAATGGACATACATGAAACTCTAACTCCAGGGAGCCTAATATCCATTGGATCGGCGATCACTTATAATACCATAAATGTCAATCGGCGATTCGTACATAGACACAAGTACATCGATGTAAGACGCGGCCTGTGACATCCATACATGCAGGATGACTCTTGTCACGTTAGAGACACTCATACTCGGCATTTCATTTGCAAATACCACTATGATGTATTTATACGTATACTGACAGTCGACCTTCTCTATAAGCGTCTGCCAAAGGGACGTTTCAAAATCTTCGGTTATCCAAGCATGCCCTCGACATTCATACACAACAGCGATGCGAGAAATGTGATTGTCTTTTGCCGGATTTGGATCAGAGCTCTCCTGTCTCGAGTGGGATATATGTCAGAGCTATCCAGGCCCTACTTGAGAGACTAGCCCAGATGATGCAGTACCTCACCATGCAACCTTCGGGGTGATGGGGACTATTCTCAACACCTGTCAGTGGTGTCACCTACGAACCTCGAGCTCTCACTATAGAGTCTGCAGAGCCGAGATTGAGTAACAACGTCCTCACTTCGACGAGGATTCCCAATCGCCTTCGCGGTCTGTATCGTCTTCATCTCTCAACACATTCCCCTATCACCATTATCATGAAGCTAACCACGATCAGATCAGATGGTCGGGTCGGAGCCCTACTCATCACTAACTCTTGATCATGGAGGAAAAGCCATCCGATGAGTTTCCGGAGCGTAGCCAGCAACCGATACGGAGATGGTGGATTGGATCAAGTCGACCTCGATTGTTATAAAGAAGGGAGATATAGATGAATATGCGCACCTCATGTGGTCCCGGTGTCTAGGCCTCGCCTGGCTGGGGCTGCAGATTTTTTGAGACTTTCCGGCGCACACAGTTTCCATTGCTACCATTTCTATTTTTTTGGGTAGAAGGTTCTGTGGAAAAGTTGGCCGAATTCCACGGCTAAATGCTGAGCTGAGTGGCTATTCATCACGGGCAATATATCAATGCTCTTTCAAGGAACATAAGAGGCAAAGAGCACTGTACCAGGTGTGGCCTGGGTCAGAGAGGAGCCCAATGTGCTAGATAGTCATAGACTCAAGTAGTACAATAAACATCACTCACTCGCACTCACAAATGAATCTAATTACAGAAGTATATCCTCTAAGCGAGAGAGTGGGTTGGATGGTGCAGTGGTACACCATCCGGGCCGTTCTCCCAAGTAGATACTGGGTAGCTTAAACACCTACCCCATTCGAGACAGGAGAAAACTGATTCGAATCCGGGCAGGCCCAAACACCACTCTCTCTCGAGGTGATATAGTGCTTGTGGGATGATGAAAGCACATTCAGATAGCCACAGATTTTCACGCTTTACCCTGTGGTGGGTATGCACGGAAGAGGTTTTACGCCGTAAGGGTTAACGTCGAGTGGTACCTGCAAATGAAATCTGAGTATGAGTGTTCTAAATGTCAAATTGAGCCATCCTACTTAAAGTACATATCTTCCGATAAAAAGCATGGGCCTTAAAGCGCCAAATCAGGTAAAAAGAACTATATATATATCTTCTAAGCGAGGGATGTGGCACGTACACCTTCCGTGTGGTTCGTGCGTCACATCAATGGTTCACGAACGCCCTCAAAAGCGTCAAGATTGCTAATCTCTCGAGCATCTTCTTCAGTCTCCAGAACTGCGAAGTCCAAGTCCTTCGCTATGGAAACAGGAGCAAGCACGAGGGGAGAAGTCCCGTTTGAAAAGGGCCAATCGGTAGCGGTGCGCAGCACCGGGATGGCACGTCCTATGAGGTCAAGCCTTTTCTAGCGCCTCGTTAGTCTGTCTGAAGATGTCACATGTGACCTATCCTTCTGTAACCGTTACAGAGCCGTTAGATAGTATAGTATTTGCGGGTACATTTGGTATCCGCAGAGAGACTAGGCCCGAAGCTTCTTCTACTTTGGCGGTTATGATTGCAAAGATCGGAGAGGCGTCAAGGATCTTCTGTCTCAATATTTCATCGGCCATCGCAATCGCGGAACTGGTCCTGACTCGATGAATGGAGACAACGATGAACAGAATGCATTTCGTATACCCTGTGGGGACAATTTCTGCCATGGGTGATCGCTGCCGAGGCGGATGAAAAGTCGTATGTCGAAGTTAGCCTTCGGCGCATCTTTTTTTTGGGCTTTTGCCGTAGGTTACGGCACAGCTTTTACTACAGGGACAGCTTTTTGTCGCAGTCCGTTTTTAGCCACCGTGGCCCCAGTGCTTTTTGGGGGCTGCACTGGGGTGACAGGTATTTTTGTACTCCTAGCGTCGGGAGCTCTCGTAGGAGGCCTAGCCCGAGGCCATGTATTGCGCAATAGCGGCGCGTAGGTCGACCCTCATGGAGTATATAAATTGTCTGTTTGTCCCATTAGTTAATGGGAGAAGTGTTTCTTCGACGCCAGATTTGCCGCTGTTTCAGCGGCGCGTCGTTCCGCTTCGACAATGGGTCGAAGTTCGAGCGGGCAGTCTGCTTTCGTAGCAGCTTTCGGCTGCGATATAGATTCTGACGCTGATTTGGGTGCAGCGTTCTCCGACGGTTTTAACGCGGTCAAAGGAGGTTTGGATGATTCCCCAATCCCGTGGGGATGGATCAGGCGAACTACAGTGAAGTACAAAAATGCCTCGTCCAACCTATACGACCAGAGCCATGATGGTGTTCTCCGGTATAGTTTGAATAGCCTAGGCCTCTACTTCCCTTGGGAGGGAGACGCTTCAGACCACATTTCTGAATAACTCGAGATTATCGAGACGTCGACCTGGGTTGGTATTCACCGATGAGAGTTGATTTGGAGTGAAGAAAAAGCCGCCATAACCTCGCAGTGGTACTCGAAAGTCAAAACTGAGGCATGGGAGCTCTTCTTGCATATTGAGTCATCTTTTCTGTACTTTTTCTCTGATATTGTGTTATAGATAAATAGCTGCATAAGCAATTAAATTCTGAAACAAAAAAAAGGACCGGGGCCACGCCAGTCCCCATCGGTGTGTTGAATCATGACGAGTCCAGCAGTTCAGGATAAAAAAACATAAAGGAAACTTCCACGCGAGACCCCGCATTATAAAAGAAAAACTTACCATGGTGTCACGATTTTAAGTTTTCAGTAGATTTAAATGGGGCGCATATTCGCTTCAGGGGTTGCGCCCCTGTTAGCGCCTATCTCAACTGAGCACATAGCATTTGTCCTGGATTTCAAGGCCTAACTCAAGGGCACAATTTGATTTAATGTCACCCTCAGTTTTATGCAAACGCAACCAGTTCTCTAGTTCTTTGCCGTCACTTTTATGACCGCCGACCGCCAATGAATTACACAGCTCTTATTATCTTGTGCTTGAGTGACAATAAGAATTAAATTTCTCGAATACAAAGTTATTTATTCAGAAA